TACTTCTCCACTTTATGGTCTAAGTGGATGCTATTGTGCTCCTAGGAATTTATTCCTCAGCTATTGATGCTTTTGTTCACCAACTCACAACTTCTTTTTCTGTCAAAAATCTAGGACCCCTCCATCACTTTCTAGGCAGTAAAGTCCTTCCCACATGTGATGGTCTCTTCTTGTCTCAACGTCAATATATATATCCTGCATCTTTTAGAAAGTTGTACTATGCATGAAGCAAAGGAAGCTTCCACCCCCATGAGCCTCTTATCTCAACGTCAATATATCCTGCATGTTTTAGAAAGTTGCACAATGCATGAAGCAAAGGAATCTTCACCCCCATGAGCTTTTTGTCTCTAATTTACATCCTCACAACAATCTTCACCTCTCTGAATTTTCATATTCTGATTGGGGGTGACATCCATGATGGTGCTCGCTCCACGACTCTGTATGTACTCTACCTTGGTCTAACATTACTTCCTGGAAACCGGCAAAGAAAAATTAAAGTGTGTGTCTCATTCTTCTACCGAAGCAGAGTATAGGGCCGTTGGTCATACTTGTGCTGTGTTGCTCGATCTGGGTTCGTCACCTTTTGGCTAATCTTGGAGTCTCTCTACCCTCTTCTGCGTAGCTATTTTGTGATAATCTTGTAGCTACATATGTTTGTGCTAATCCGGTGTTTCATTCTCGATGAAACACATTCACTCGACTTCTTTTTTGTGCGTGATCTTATTGAGTAGGGGCTGCTAAAAGTGCATCATGTCTCTACCAAACAAAAACTTGCGGACATTCTTACCAAGCCCCTTGAGATTACACCTCCTGATAATATCAGGCCATTATATCATTGTGAAAACAGCTAGAAACGGAATTTAGATTAATTTCTATCATGTATCTATTATACACACTCCAATGAAAGAAACCCATCGTGTTATTATAAGCGATGTGTTAACGTTTTTTTCAAAAAAAAAATACACAAATCAGGAGGTGCAGTCAAGATTTTTTGTGGAGACCTCAACAAACTTTGCCATGGGACAAGAAATAAAGATCAAGAAAATGACAGAGAGCTCTGAACAGTCTTCCAGCACTGCAGACTAAGGACAATATAGGTCGGAGGATTCACACTACACCATTTGTACTCTTCTTCGTCTCTCTCAGTTAATGTGTACCATAGAACCACAAAAACATTTTTTCTGATATATGTTCTTAGTTGAATTAGCTAACCAACAATGAGCGTAACACCTAAAATGAGATTTTTCTTTGGGGAAAAGGAAAAAAATGAATACAAGCTCATATAGATGCTTTTCCTACATCTTAAGAAGCTTACGTAAATTAAGGGTAACATTTTTCAAAACAGGCCATTAGATAGGTCAGAGAATATATCGGCAGTATTGGCTAGCACAAGACATTAATTTATTCTTCAAAAAAGAATATACTCCACAAAAAAGAGCTTACAAGAAGTGTCTCCCAGAATGCATCATCATCATAAATGCTTTCACCATCCCAAGAAGTAAAGACTTGCACATTCTGCAATAATTAAAGTTAACATTACACTAATCATCAAACAAAACTTACTAATTGCTTTTCCTATCATCTCTAACCCCCTTTGGAAACCACATACGTTTCTAACAAACATATGTGCTAATATACGTGTTTTTACTAAACAAACAGAGAGATTGATTGTAAGGAATAATTGTACTTAGATTTTGATGATGCTAGGTTAGATTAGAATATTAGAGTACCCCCATTTGACTTTACTGTAGAATGCACTATTTTGCACTGTTTAAACACTGTTTGGCACTGTTTAAACACTGTTTGACACTGTTTATCACTTTTTTTATGTAGATAATTTGCCAAATAAGGAAAGTATTGAAGTGTGAAGTTAATTTTAGGACATCCATTTAAGGAAAGTGGGAAGTTGTTTTCGGGACGGAGGGAGTAAGTAAAAAGAGAGTTTGCATTGCACGTCCCTCAACTGTCTGAGCCCACCTTCATAACAGAGCTTCAATTTCAGCTATGCCCTAATTAGGGCAATACCAAATAAACAATCTTTGCAAACAATATGATGAATAATGCTGCAAATGGCCCACCTTAGAACTCTAATTTGAGAAAGTATTGACTGAGATTTCAAATCATAGACATGACCAAAATTTCTCTCCAAAATTCAACCGCAATTTACAAATTCAGATAACCATCTAGCTCAGACATCCAAACACTTAATACAAAATTGTAAACAGATCGAGAATATTCTTGAAGCTCACCAACCCATGGAAGGGATCACGAGAATCCAAAACCCAAACACCAAAAAGGGAAATTTTGCTGCCCAATATGCTACTGTAGCGCAAAGTAAGTCCTGAAAGTAGTGAATCTGCACTAAGTTCTTGTAACAGTGTGTAATGAGAGAAACAAACCTGAAACAAAGGCGACCAAGTTCCTGTGGATATAAAGAGTGGACTTATGAGCCCTAGTCATGAATACATCGAGCAAAATGAGAAGTAACAATTTGGAAAATGAATCGGGAAAGCATCATCACTCACTTCATTGGGGGAGAGCGGCAAACGACGGTAATCAATTGGAGCTGTTCACACGGTAAAAGGGTCATACTAACATCCTTCCACACTTTACATTTTTAGTAGATAATCTAAAGTACTTGCAAAAGCAAGGTGAGCAAAGTGGTTGTCCTCAGATACAGTATCATCATAGGACAAATTTGGGGTAAGTGTAGTATCTTCGTTCAAGGGATCAGAATTAGTTTCCTCATATTACCCCATCAAAGAGGGCATTAACCTCAGATCCCGGGGTAATCACTTGAGTGGGTACAGGAAGATGAACATCGCCTGCGGTTACCACCTTGTAACAGATAGCCACCGGGGGTTCATCCTGTACTTTGGCAACTGAACATGGAGCATCAATGGGTACAGGTTCAAATGGTGTTGTATCATGTATATCAACATAAATGGAAACTTCACTAACTGTAACAACTATAGTTAAGCGGAAGGGGGAGATTCAGAAACTGAAGGAGGGGTAACCAAGGGCTAAGGCAGTAACATCACAAATAGGGGCATCACATGAATCAGTAACATGTTTAATAGGGGCACAAAAATTTTGGCCATAAACAACTGGGACAACAGTTTCAAAACAATTATGGCCATCAATAGGATCAATTATAGAATTAACTTTGTCAAAAGAGGTAGCAATATTATCAGAATTATGAACTGAATCCTTCACAACTGGGACAACATTTTCAGTACCAGGTGAGACCATTAGCATCAGAAATGGAGGCTATTGCATCAGCAAATATAGGGACAGTAGGATTGCAATAGGAGGGACCCTAACAAAATCAGTGAGAGGGTTACATCATTGGCCAAGGTAGCCTCAGGAGAATTTTGTTGCCCCATAATTGTTGAAAATCGGAGTTAGTTTTGAAATTGATCAAAATAGTGTGCGATTAAAGAAGGTCTACAGTGTAGGGTTCCGAGAACCCTAGCTTCTCGAAGGCCCTTTGAAGCGCATCAATAGGGGCCAACCATCGGAGAAGGTACCTACCAGTGCTTAACGAAAATGAGTAAAGAAAACCTGGGTGTCGTCCGCAGAGAAAACCTTTGAATGAACCGGACGATTTGGGCTTAAATCCAAGAAGGTCAGAGCCGGAGAAGAGGCACGCTTGGGAGTGTACGCGTCGGCCGGGGACGGAGGCCCTTACCGCTGCAGCGCAAAAAGTGGCGAGTGGTCTGCCACCGGTCTTTGACCCTCCGCCGGCGTCATGGTGTGCCGCACAGGCCTTGGGAATCAAGAAAATAGCGAACAGTTCAGAAAGAAGGCGGAGCCTCTCGCCCTAGCGTGGGGAATTGAGAAAAGAATGGAAAATGAATTGAGAAAGCATCGTTGCTCACTTCTAGCGGAAGAACGGCAAACGACGTCAATTATTTGGGCCTGTAGCAACGGTAAAAGGGCCATGCTGACATCCTTCCGATCCACACTTTATATATTTAGTAGATATTCACGTTTTATCCCCCCTAAAATACACTCAACGTGGTAATAAAACCCGTATGATTAAAATGAGTATGAATTCACTTTTACATGACGTAAGAGTTGAACATAAACTAAAGTAACAAAACCATATATTAATCATTTTAATAATATAAGGAGTGTATTAGCTATTATTTCTTAAGTAATTAAGAGCGTGACTCTATTTTTCGACTTATCAGTTTTACCAGCTAACTTTTTCACTAACATGAAACTTTTGATAATGGCACTGCATTGAGTAATAATCAAAATAAGTATAAAGTTACTTTTTTGGCCGAATTGGATGAAGTTACTATGAGTGATTATTTTTTTCTATTTTTTCATATATATTTTTCTTATCTTACCATATATCAAAAGTCACACTTCTTTCTTATATGGAGTACTTATGTAGGTTTTTAAGATTTTTTTTATATAGAACTAAAGCATAAATAAAATGCACATATAAAATTATCATGTTTTCTTTCTGAAATAGGACTTATTAACTTCTAACGGGAAATTCTATAATTTTAATATAATCAAATAAGTTTTATTTTGGAAATAAAGTACATGTAAACATGTAGCCCTGTGCATTTTGTGAGGCCGTTTGGTAACATTGTTTTTCGGCTTATTAGACTTATCAGCTAACTTTTTCACCAAACACGTAACTTTTGCTTTCGCGCGCTGAATTGTGTAATAAGCAGAAAAAGTAAGGTTGAAGTTACTTTTCTGGCTGTATTGACTGAAGTTACTGTGGATGACCATTTTAGCTATTTTTACATATAATTTTTTTATTTATTTTATTAATGAAATATATTTTAAAAATATTTTTTTCTTAAATTTTTTTACTGTGGAGGACCAAAACAGCCACTTTAGCTAGAACTTCATAAATTTCAGCAGAATCAGCCAAATTAACCGATTTTCGTGCTACCAAACGGGCTGTGCATGTGTTTTAATTCTATTTGATATTTAGAGCCATTTCTATTTTTTTTACGTCACACGACCCATGAGCCAGAACACATGCTCCTCCACCATCGTCAAGGCTGTCTTTCTCTCTCTCTCTATAAATAGTATAATCTCAGTACCCTCCCATTACTCGCTCTCCTCTCCAACATTCATAAAAAGCCTCACTGTAGCAGTCTGCCATTCTTACTTGCATGTTCGTTGATCTGGGCAGTTAAAAAACCCACCAAAGATGATAACTTTATTAGATTTTTACCATGTCATGACAGCAATGGTTCCACTCTATGTGGCCATGGTACTAGCCTATGGCTCAGTAAAGTGGTGGAAGATTTTTACCCCAGACCAGTGCTCGGGGATCAACCGCTTTGTGGCTCTGTTCGCAGTCCCTTTACTCTCATTCCACTTCATCGCAATGAATGATCCTTACACCATGAACTTGAGGTTTCTTGCAGCTGACACCCTGCAAAAGCTCATTGTTCTCCTGGGTCTTGCTCTCTGGGCTACTTTCAGCAAAGGGGGGAGCTTAGAGTGGGCCATCACTCTGTTTTCTTTATCAACTTTGCCAAACACGCTGGTGATGGGGATTCCCTTGCTGAAGGGAATGTACGGGGAGTTCTCGGGCTCACTGATGGTTCAAATTGTTGTTCTTCAGTGCATCATCTGGTACACTTTGATGCTTTTCTTGTTCGAGTTCAGGGGAGCAAGAATGCTCATCTCTGAGCAGTTCCCTGACACCGCCGGCTCGATTGTCTCAATCCACGTGGACTCTGATATCATGTCGTTGGACGGAAGGCAGGGCCTGGAGACGGAGGCGGAGCTGAAGGAGGACGGGAAGCTCCACGTGACAGTCAGAAGATCAAACGCGTCAAGGTCTGATATTTTCTCAAGAATGTCTCACGGCGGCATTTCGTCGAACACCCCCAGGGCATCAAACCTCACAAACGCCGAAATCTACTCTCTGCAGTCCTCGAGAAACCCCACCCCCAGGGGCTCCAGCTTCAACCACACCGACTTCTACTCCTTGGTCGGAGCCGCCGCTGCTGCTCGGAATTCCAACTTTGGTGCTAATGACGTGTTTGGCCCGACCCCAAGGCCTTCCAACTATGACGAAGAGAGTGGGAAATCAAGATTCCATACCCATACCCATAACAAAGCTCCAAACCCAGGAATCTTTTCTCCCACAAACAAAGCGGGTAATGCAATTAACAAGAAACCCAACTCTAATGGACATCAAGAGGGCGGGAAAGAGCTTCATATGTTTGTTTGGAGCTCAAGTGGTTCCCCTGTTTCAGAAGTCTTTGGAGGCCATAGCTTTGGCGCAGTAGACCAAGCTACTGCTGCTAAGGAAGTGAGAGTCCCAATTTCTCCCACCAAAGGTATTATTATTATAACATCAAAATTAAATCTTTATGTCATTGATTTCCTTTGCTTCCCAGTTTGAGATTTTATAGTCCGTTTTATTGTTAGTTGGAGTTGAGGGTCAGAAGAACAATCAAGATGGTAACAATTACATGGGGGAGAAGAAGAGAGATGCAGAAATGAACATCCATGGAGGCGGCAAATTAGGTGGAGAAGACGAGAGGAAAGTGAAGGCGGCGATGCCTCCGACAAGTGTGATGACAAGGCTTATCCTTATCATGGTTTGGAGGAAACTTATCAGAAATCCCAACACTTACTCCAGCTTAATTGGCCTTACCTGGTCCCTCATTTCATTCAAGTGAGTATTATAATATCACTACTGTTGCTTCTTTGCTTCGATCTTTCTGTTAATTAAAGTTCTTTCTTTTTTCACTTTGTTGACTGGTAAATCGAAAAACTTCTACTTACAGATGGAATGTGGTGATGCCAGCTATAATTGCCAAGTCCATCTCCATTCTGTCAGATGCTGGGCTTGGCATGGCTATGTTCAGTCTAGGTAATTCTCATCTTTAATTATTACGGAGTATTTCATTGATTTACCTTCGCTTTTCTTTTTTACTTTAGCAATTTGCCCAAAAGTAACTTTTAGTAACCTTTAGATTCATTTTTATTATTCAGTCCAATAGTAACTCGTCAGAGCGTCGTGTACACTCATGAACCACATTTTACTATCAAGATCACAAACTAAACGGAAGAATACTTTAATTAAAGTTACACTCATTTGATACTCCTTTAGTGAGCGGTAAAAAATTAGACAATTCATTACAAAAGTTAGAGAAGTGATTTGTGACTCTTTTAGTGAACGGCAAAAAATAGAGTGAAAGTGTTGGCATGAAAATGTTTCCAAGAATATTTATACTCCGTATTTAATGTCCCTTAACATTACTAAATTAGATTTATTAATTGGTTTAAGCTTGTAGGTGGTGTATGACAAAAGGTTTTTTTGTATATTTCTCATGTCCCACAATGTTCTTCAATTTTTTTCCCTTTTTAGTTGTTTCAAAATTATTTTACATTTCTCCTCTAAAAAAGTTGGGCGGCTTAGCATCCATTGTTATTTAATTAAATAAATTGTGACCACTAACTCCTTTCGTCTAAGCATAATTGTCATGTTTCTGTATGTTTCGCCTAAGCATAAGTAGTACGGAGTATATAACTATATTGTAGTTTTGTAGTTATCTTGGAAATATATGCAAAATACTACTCTATTGAATTGAAAACAAAATTGAAAGTAAGTTTTGTATTCTCGTTGATATATAGGAATTCTTAAGCCTTTGCAATCCTCCTTTTGGGGATGACTAAGGTAGTGGGCCAGGTGTAGCGCATTCTATGATGAACAGTCACATCATAGAATAATGACTAATTTATACTTCCTCCGTTCTTTAATATAAGTCCTCTTAGACTTTGGCACGGGTTTTAAGAGGAAAATAGTAGGGGTAGTGTAAAAGGTGTAATGAGTAGTGGGTAAATGAAAAGGTAGGAAAGAGAAAGGGGTAATGGTAATAAAAGTGGGGGTATAAAGGTATATTTAAAGTAAAAACTTTCCTTAAATGAAAAGGAGGATAAATAAAAAAAAACGTCCCAAAAAGGAAAGAAGGACTTTTATTAAAGAACGGAGGGAGTACTTTATTACAATAAAATTTATTAGTCTATAAATTACAACTAATTTACAACACGAGTCTTACACCAACCAAGAATCAAGAAGCATGCGAAAAGGAGAGTGGGTGTGATCATAACTTTGTCTCCCGCTAGTGCTCTCATTTTTCATTATCTTTTTAACTTTAACAAGACAAGATCTATTGTACTTTACATGTCATTAGTGTGTTAAACTTATTTAGATATTATTCCAAAAATATCATCCTTAATAATTTCACCTCTTTTTGACTTGACGTATGAACGGAGTTTAATCTTGGATTTAAGTACACATTTTGTCCCCAAATACCTCGCGATTTTGTCGTTTATTCGATCCACTCTTAATTATAGTCTAGAAAAAGTACTCCAACGTAGCTACTATAGCAATCTTAGGGACCTCCTAATTAATTAATAAGCGAATTGAATGTGGATGGAGATTTTAGGGTCCCAAATTTGCTCTATTAAAAATTTAACGACCTAAGCACATAGATCAATCATACATGTGAGAGTGAATGCTTTTAAATGTTTTTAAGTTTTTTACAAAAATCAATTATACGGTTGTTGAACATAACTTTATTGGGATACTTAAAAACAAAAATTTTGACATTATTTTATTTTATCTTTTTCGAAACGGGAAAAATAATTATAATACCCTAAACTTTGAAAGAGTGTGAGATGATCATCCCAAATTTTCATATGTAATTTAAATACTCCAAACTTTATATAAAAAGTTATTTTAGCACCATGGTCATATGGTATTTCTTTCAAAAATGTAAGTTTATGATGTTAATTGCATAATTTAAAATAGTAAATTAGAATTTTTGCAATTATGTAGAGTGGAGGTAGTATTATTTATTTAAAAATGAAAGTTTAGAATGTTACTTGTATTTTAATAAATGCTAAAATATTTTAAATTATGAAATTAACGCAAGAAATTAACATTTTTGAAAGAAATAATACATGACCATTGTGTTAAAATAACTTTTTATAGGAAATATAAAGTTTGAGATATTTAAATTACATCTGCAAGTTTAAGGTGTTTACTTCACATCTTTTCAAAATTTGAGGTATTTTAATTATTTTTCATTTCGAAACAAAAGGACCATTACTTTTTTACGACCACGTATTAAATTCATTACTCCACAATCCACATTGACCAGGACATGGGTCCATACACCACCATATTAAGGATAATTTAAAAAAAATCATCGTATTCCGTAAATAATATAAATATATAAACGGAGTATATGTGTGTGTCATACTCTGATTAAATCGCAACATAACTGGATAAAATGTTGGTGAGGACTCGTTGGAGGCCTGGGAATTATGGTGTACATTAAAATAATTTAAAGAAATCTGTGGAGGCACGTTTTTGGGGTTGTTTGGAATCTTACACCGGAAATGCGGCTAATATAATTGCAGCGTGTTGGGCCGAAAAGTGTAATTAAACGGTTCATTTGATCAGAAAGTGTAATTAATTTGATCAGTGTATGGATATTACATAATTACATAACAATCAGGCTTGAGGTACACATTTTTGTACACACACTTACACACTCGTGTCTGTGAAGTGTTTTGTTTTGTCTATATACAGACACATCTTATTTCATAGACACTTCAAATGCGTTATGTCTGTATACAGACAAAAAAATACTTCACAGACATGAGTGTGTAAGTGTGTGTACAAAAAATGTGTAACAATACATTTAGTATGGATATTAATCAAAGTGTGTCATTTGATCAATATCCATACTAAACGTCATTGTTGCAATTTAATTTTCATTAAATCATTTTATAATTCAGATAAAGTATCTGAGGGACAGAGATGCCTTTTATCAATATAGAGATCAATGCACTCGTGAGAGTAATAGGGATGAGCTACAAGTTACATTTATGTTAAATAAAAAGTTATGTTTTTCGGTTCTTCAGGCTTATCAGTCAACTTTCTGATCATTTGATTTCACAAGCTGAATTGCACAATAATAATAAGAAAAATAAGGTTGGAATTACTTTTCTTGGCTGAAGTTACCGCGGAGAACCATTTCAGCTATTTTTAAATAAATTATTTCAGTAGAATCTACCTATTATGCCGATTTTGGCATTACCTAGCCGTTTCATTACATCCAGTTTTTTTTAAATGTTCACCAGTCTAAAAAAGTAAAAACGTTTCCTGTTTCGTTTGCCTAAGTTTTGCTTGGTATGCCGTTTTCCGTGTAGTTGAGACTTTGTATCTTGTGTTGTTTCTTGAAGTTCATTTTCCCGAATTACTTGTTTGTGTGTGATTTTTTGAGATTGAAATATATGGAAGTGAAAACATATTATATTTAATTGACTACACAGTTCGCATCAAAGAAATTGACTAGTGGCAACTGAGTACGAGTAGTATTAAACTAATTCAGACTGTATATGTAATTGATAATTTTGTTTTTTCAAAGAGACAAATAAAATTTGTTGATAGAATTGGGTTATATACAGTGGCTGTGTGTAAAAAATTGGTGGTGGTGCAGGGCTGTTCATGGCATTACAACCGAGGATCATAGCATGTGGGAATTGTGTTGCAGGGTTGGCGATGGGGGTGAGGTTCGTGGCAGGCCCAGCTGTGATGGCCGCGGCCTCCTTTGCTGTCGGCCTCCGAGGGGTCCTTTTACACGTTGCCATTGTGCAGGTCGCTCGCTCACACCCTTTGATTAACTTTCTGGCCGACAAATGTGTCTTCTAACAGTTGTTGTGTGTGTACTTGTGCCAACAAACAGGCAGCTCTTCCTCAAGGAATTGTCCCCTTTGTCTTCGCCAAGGAATATGGCGTGCACCCTGACATTCTCAGCACAGCGTACCTTTCTCTCTTATTGCTTTCCCATCCCCCAACTAACTCATCATTACTACCGCATTCACCTCCCCTAAATAAATTTATTCACCATGCACCTTAATTATGCCTTCTTTTAAGTGGCATAGCACAATAGTAAGTGTATGACCCACCCTATATGATCCCTATATGAGATGTTAGCACTACATTTAGGGGAGAATAATAGGAGTAGCGAATAATGTAGAAAAAGCAGAAGAAAAATAAAAAAGCACTCCGCAAAAAAGAGAAAATATAAAGTGAAAAAAATAAGGGTAATTGAGTATTTTGAAAGGATAAACTTACGAAAAAAGGAAAGTGTAGCAAACTTTTACGTACATCCCAAATAGGAAAGTGTAGCAAAACTTTTATATACGGAGGGAGTACTTCAACTATTCAACTATTCATAAACGTACTAGCTAGCTAGAGTTTCAAAACAAAAAAAAAAACTTCCAAGAGTTCTTTCAAGGACTTTTCCTGCTTCCTAGAAAATAAAAGAGAATATTATCCGAAAAAGATTAAAAATGTTTGAAAATTTCAAAATAGGATTGTCATGTTTTTATTCCCAAAATAAGACTAATTACTGTCATGTTTTGGCAGTACCAGACTTCAAACATGGCAGTATCTTCCAAACTTGGCAGTAATTACTCCTATTTTAAAAATAAAAAACATGATAGTCCTGTTTTGGAATTTTCAAACTGTTTTAGTTCTATTTCGGGAACTTTCCCAAAATAAAAAGAGGTGATGGAAGTTAGAAGAAACAATTGTAAACTCCTAGGGATGTTAGATAAAAAGAATACATAAATCATCAAACATTTGTTCTAAGTTTATATAGAAGTTGCTCTAAATTGAAGTAATTATTGTCACGCTTGATAATAGTGTCAATTTTGGCATTAATATTGTCATATTAATGTCAAAATATGACAGTATTATTTGAAGATGGCAAAAAATTACTCTTAGGATGTTTTACTTGGACTGTAATTTGTTGGTCTGGTCTGGTCTGGTCTGGTCTGGTCTGATCTGGTCTGGTCTGGTTTGGCCTGAACTGGTCTGGTCTGGTCTGGTAAGGTCTGGTTTCTTTGTATTTTTATAACTATCCAAGTCTGGTCTGGTCTGAACTGATCTGGTCTGGTCTGGGGCAAATTACAGTCCAAGTAAAAACATCCTTATTTAGAGAAAAATGTAGTATCATGTTTTGGAATTTCAAATTCCTTTTACTAGTATTTTTAGAAATTTCCCAAGCTTATATCATTGTAAAAAATATTAATAATTATAATAACCGAGAAAATATAGAATTAGTTATGAAATTACTTTCATTTAATTATTTAAAACAATAATAATTTCGCAGCCGGTACCCAACATTAAATCTGTTGAATTTGGAAAATAAAATACTTGCTAGCCGTGTGACGGAATAGTCCAAAGTTCACTGTTCGACAATTAATTATCGTGACAGTAATATACTCCGTAGTAGTAATAGGCAAGCAAAAAAAACTTTACCACTTTTATACCCACTTTTGTACCCATCATGTCTGTGAGGATTTCACAGAAAAAAACTCCTCACAGACATGATGAGTACAAGGTGGTATAAAAGTGTGTACAAGAAGAATGGTTCATGGGCAAGTGGACCGTTACGCGGATGGTCAAGTCCGAGTTGGAGCCCATGCGTTGTGGGCGGGGCCGTCAATTACTATCTTAAAAGAATCTAAGTTAAAAGGGAAAACTGTCAAATAGGTCCTCGAACTTTCATAAAAAAATCAATTAAGTCCTTCTATAGGAGACTCTGTCCGGTCGTTGCGATTTGGGGCAGTTTCCGGTGGAATTTTTTGATGAAATTTTTTGAGCATCTTATTCATCAAATCTAGTTTATTCATACCAAATTTCAGCTAAAAAATTAATCAAGAGCATATTCAAATTAATTCGAGAACGCAAAAATGCGCAGTTATCTTCAAGAATTAATTTGAATGTGTTCCCGATTGAATTTTTAGTTGAAATTTGGTATGAGTAAACAAGACTTGGTGAATAAAATGCTCAAAAAATTTCATCAAAAAATTCCACCAGAAACTGCCCCAAATCACGATGGCCGGGCAAAACCTCTTATAGAAGGACTTAATTGACCTTTTTATGAAAGTTCGAGGACCTATTTGACAATTTTTCCAAGTTCAAATATTACTCTTTCCGTCCCAAAAAACTCTTCCCAATTTTACTTGGCACGGAAATTAAAAGGGAAATGAGAAATTTTTTTTGGGACATTCTAAAATGGTAAGTAGGAAGTATTTTTTGGGACGAAGATAGTAAAAACTTGCCCCAGGTTCTATAATTTACATCCCGTAAATTTTTAAAATGACTTTTGTACAAAAATTATGGGTTCAGATAAGTTGATCGAGGTTCATTACAAACCCCTAATTTGGTTTGTATTTAGTTTTTTGCTTCATTATTTGTCGCGGTTCATCCCGTTCATGTATTCTGCGTACAGAAAAGAATCTAACTCGAACAGTGCAACAAAAAATCTTTTGCAGGGTTATATTCGGGATGCTAATAGCTTTACCAATAACGCTGGTGTACTATATTTTGTTGGGCCTGTGAACATGGACTATTTAACTCGATATATCATCTAATACTACTCCTACTAGACGGTGAAGATTATTCAAGTAAAGAAGAAAGAAGAATTAAAGAGGCCGGGCCGGGCTTCTCGAGTTCATCAACACTGCTCCTCGATCCCAAGTTTAGTTAGCATTATTAGTTGTAAAATGATCAATCGGTATATGTTTCTACTCAATTGTTCTCAATTGTTTGGTTGGGGAGGCAGTGGAGAAGAAAATGAAATTGTTATATCCTAAGCTTCTTGTGATCTCATCTTCTATTATACGGAGTAGTATTAATGTGATTCACTTGTTATTAGTATGTACACTAGGCCATCACCTTATTAGAAATAAAATCAAGTGACGTAGTGTGATGAATCCCAATAAATGTGTTTTCTTTTCATTAACATATATACCTACTCATTTTGTTGGATTGCCTACAGATTTTAAAAAAAAAGGCCTGATAATGTTCCCCGACATTTATGATGGCAGTGTGGAGAGACTAAAAGCCCGTTTAGTTATTTTTGGGAATCGTCAAGTTGCTGGACTTGACTATAATGGAACATTTGCCCCGATGGCCAATATGGTGACTGTTTGAGCTTTTCTTGCGGTTGCTGCTTGTAAAAATTGGGAGCTTCACCAAATGGATGTACACAATGCATTTCTCCACGGTGATCTCCAAGAAGAGGTTTATATGACGTTACCTCCATGTTATACCACCAAGGATTCCACCTTGGTATGCCGTCTTCACAAATCATTGTACGGTCTCAAGCAGGTGCCGCGTTGTTGGTTTGCCAAGGTGGTTACTGCTCTGAAAGGGAATGGCTTCATTCAGTCCTTTTCTGATTATTCGCTGTTCACCCACACTCGTGGCAAAATTCAGTTGAATGTACTTGTTTATGTGGATGATCTGATCATTTCTGGGAATGATTCTGATGCCATTGCCTCTTTTAAGAGCTATCTTAGTGATTGTTTTCACATGAAAGACTTGGGAAAATTAAAATATTTTTTGGCCATTGAAGTTGCTCGAAGCTCTTCTGGTCTATTTCTTACTCAACGAAAGTACGCTTTGGATATTATCACTAAAACTGGATTGCTTGGCGCTAAGCCGGCGACATTTCCCATTGAGAAGAATCACGATCTGGCTCGTGCCTCTGGCCCCTTTGTTTCGGATCCAGAGAGTTCTCGCAGACATGTGGGTCGCCTTATTTACTTAGCTCTTACACGATCAGATCTTGCTTATGCTGTTCACATCTTGTTTCAATTCTTACAAAAACCTCGCATTGAACATTGGAATGCTGCTCTCCGGGTTGTTTGCTATATCAAAGGCTCTCCAGGACAGGGTATACTACTTCGGGCTGATGGTGATCTTACTCTCATAGGATGGTGTGATTCTGATTGGGCAGCTTTCTAGGGTTGTTTTCCCGTTGGAGGAAGAAAACAACTTCAGTAAATGCGCGTACAGTGAAGTTGACCGGTTAAACCCACAAAGTTGGCGGCTTGCTATTTTGGGATAAGGTTTCCTTGGAATCTCGGTCAATCATCAGCTTTAACTCTTCAGAGCATAGAGCTCATTAAATGATTATTAAATGCACTGTCCTGTAGTTTTTCGTTGATGGAGCTCCTAGCCGTTAGGAAAGATTCCGTTAAGAAACAGGCTAAGTAGGCTTGAGAAAGACCAAGTGTGAGGGCTTCTATTGCTGTATACAGAGGGGCAATCTCAGAGGGCCTCGAGCACTGCTGTTTCGTAAGGGTCCAACAGAGGGCCTGGAGGTCTTCTGTTAGTCGATTACTCTAGAATGCTTACACTTAGAAAAATTCTAATAAATCAATTCTAATGGGGGTACACTAAAGATCTAATAAATCTAGCATCATCAAAATCTAAATACATTTATTCCTTTCAATCTTGTTGCAGACTTGCAGATTTTCAGCCCTGCAGGTAAGCCGCCAGTCCGCCAGCCCCATTGTTATTTGTTGATTTTGATTGTTAATTTATTAATTATTGATTTTTTTTATAGTATTTGTAATGGTTGATCTGTTGGTAAATGTAATGTTGTGGGGCTGAAAATTATTTGTTAAAGGTTAATTTTAATTTAGTAATTGTTAATTTTAACCTTTTGTAGTATTTCTAAATTAATAATTTATTAACTATTAATTCTTATAATCGCTTTAATTGTAGTATTTCTAGGTTGTGTGAAAAAGAATCTCTATGTTACCATTTTTTCCAAATGTTCCCAAAGGTAGTAAAGGGCCGAGCATTGATGGTTCTTCATTGAATAATGTAATTTGTTCGTCAGGTAATATCACTTCTAACATTAAAAATAATGTTAAAAAGCCTCGAATAGAAGTTGAAATATCAGACGACATTGTTGGTGATCCTGGATTGCATAAAGCGATTGAAAGTTACGATGTTAATATTAGAGAAGAAGTGAGAAGATGTTATTTGACAAAGGGGCCTACTCAACCACACGAGTTCAAATTTCCACAAACTGAATTTAGCAGGTGTATGAGATCATTTCAAAAGCAGTGATTTGAAGAATTTAATTGGTTGGAATGTAGTGTTGCTAATGATTTCTTTGTTAACGATCCCCTGCAAGTCTCGAGTCCTGGTTCCGCCACTGGCCTTCAAAGCAAGCCTCTCCAACCGGAATGTCATCTTCTTGCCTTCTGGACAAAGGAAGTATAACAATTAGATTTAACCAATAAATTGCACGACAGAAAGACTTAAAAATCAGGCGTAACCAACCTAAGTTAAATTCAAGGACAACCACACCGTCCTCACCTACGTGATGGTCCATCAGGAAGGTTCACCATCAGCAATGAGTTTAGCGGCGTGCTCGTTTCCCTCATTCGGGATCAACATAGTCCACCCTTGGATCAACTCTCCCCACTTGTTCTGAAACAGTAGTGATAGAGTATATGGACTTAGACCCCATGACCCACATTTTCAAAAGGTCAAAGACACCAAAGGGACATCCATGTATGTGACGCCCTTCGACCTAGTGGGTCCCGCAACGGCCAGAGCCAGATTTGCTCAAAACACTGCCTGGAGGCCAAGTGGGTCCCGCATCGGCCATGTGTAGCATAGGCCAAAGACCGCGTCGGCCAAAAGGCATCGCATCGGTCAGGAAGCATCCTGGTAGAATGTATTTTCCTGTCTTTTTTTACTAAGTGTTGTATTCAGCCCATTAGTGACCTTATTTCGCCCAAAGAAGACATGATTGTTATAATGGGCCTCCTAAGTTCAAGGCTAGGAGACCAAATCCACATTTACTCCTATAAATAGCCCCCTAGGGGATAGTTATAGACTGTTGAGAAATATTAATTGCTCTAACTTCTCTCTAGAATTAAATACTCTATCATTTGGTGCTCTCGTAGAGAGTTAAAACAGATCAAGTGAGATTCTTCGTCGCTACCAGACGCATCTAACTGAAAATGGGAAGGACTAAGTCTAAAAACCTCGCCGGCAAAACCATCCTTGAGGCCCCCAAGAACCAAGAGTGGTCGGGTGATGATGTCGACAAATACCATGTGGTGTGCGAAGAGATCGTCCAGGAGGCTGAGAATCCCGCTGACGAGGCATGGCTACCAAAAAAAATGAAATTATCTTTCCTGAGGAGGCTAAGAAAAAAATATTTATTATCTCTTTGATGTGTTTTTAGTGTTTTTACGACATTAAATTTGTTTATTTCAATTTAAATTTTGTAAAACATGAAATTATATTACAATTTTCATGTGCGAGTTATGTTTATAGACAATTTCCGGAATTACATTTGATAGTATATGGAGTTATATCTTCTTATGAGCGAGTCAAATCGTCTTGTACATGAGTTACATCTTCATATGCGGAAGTTACATTTAGACTTGTCTCAACAAGTTATATTGTGCACACACTTAAGTTAGATTTTCCATCAACGCGAGTTACATTTTTTCATAACACGAGTTACATCACAAAATAAACACCAGCTATTCAAATAAAAAAAATCATTTGTTGAAAAAAAAAATGATTTTGTTTGACAAAAAGAAAGATTTGTTTGGCAAAAAAATATTTTTCTTTGAAACATTTTTATGGCCTTAATACTAAAAAGAAAACATATTAACTATTTACATAAATTAATTTGAGCAATTAGACTCCTTATTTTCATTGTTTACATTTAATAATATATGAAATTGCATCTTCTGATATTATGTGCAAGTTACATCTTTTTTATACGTGAGTTACATCTTCATATACGCAAGTTATATTTAAATTTAACTTAATTAGTTACATTTTGCATATACCTAAGTTAAATTTTCCATCAACACGAGTTACATTTTGCATAACATGAGTTACATCACAACATAAAGCCCTACTACTGAAACAAAAGAATAATATTTTTGCAAAAAAAATGGCAAAAAATGATTTATTTGGCAAAAAATGATATTTTTAATAACATTTTTATGGTCTTAATATTAAAAATAGAACATATTCACTATATAAGGATGTCCCTTGTATTGAAACAAAAAACCCACATTTTTGGCAAAAAAAAATGATTGTTTTGGCAAAAAAAAATGATTTTAAGAAAAAAACATTATTTATGGACTTAATAATAAAAAAAACAGACATTCAATATTTAGGTAAAGTAATTGAGAAATTAGACTCCTTATTTTCATTGAAATCAATGTTTTATTTATTATAATCAATATTAGCCAAGTTACATTTCCATTTGTCTAAAGTTACATTTCTTTACACGCGAGTTACATCCTTCTGATACTGAAGAATGAAAAAAACCAAAAAGAAAAAGTTACTGATTATTTGTGTGAACAGTAATGCACGTTTTTGCTTGTGGGAGCAGCATGCTCACGGTGGGCTGCTCCCACGGTATACGTATTGGCTTGTAGAGACACAAGCCATTAATATATATATAATTTTGTATTGGTAAAAAAATTAAAAAGAATTAGATTTTGAAAATTTACAATGAGACAAATTTCACAATATTATTTTCATAAAAAAATATTAATATAGTAATAAATAAAATGTAGTCAAGTAGAACATGTGAATAGTGTAAATTTTCATATGTTGCATTTATTAAAGAAGGGAAGTACTATTATATTTTTCAGTCGGAGACATGTCTTAAAATTTTCATTTTTCCTTCCCAATCTCTTTTCCCACGCAGGAAGAAGAGAAGATTCTTCCTTCCAACATTTTCTATTTGAACTAGGTCTCCATTCAGCTACACAAGCTTAACACCAATCTTTATAGTCTCAAAAATTAATTAGATTAATTCAATGGGATTGGTAGGTGAAAAGAAAATTAGGTTATTTAATTATGAAAAAAGATTGGTGTACACAAAAGTTGTACATAAAAGTTGTACACTTGTCAGTCCCTCACAGACAACTAGTCTGTGAGGGACAGACAAGTGTACAACTTTTGTGTGCATCTAGCTCCACTCTTTAATTATTTTATTTTACATAGAGTATAGACTATAAGTCAAAATAGAATCGATTTTACCCAGTACCCGATAAATTGACCTGAAAATCCATAAAGGATAAATTGATTTCATTCTTTATACTTTCATTCTAAACAAGTATAGTACCTGTGCGATGCACGGGGTGGTTGATTTTCCATATGAATTAGTATGCTATTAAAGAATGTAAAACATGACAATAATTTAATTAATAATTATCCATAAAAGCATATATTTTGTTGTAAGTGAATGATATAAATGTAAGTTAACCATTTACATGTTTGCAATCCATTTAGAAAAGTTAACCAAGTATTTTTTGTCAGATATATCATTCTCTAAAAAAACATCATTTTACCATCTAAGAGTGCCACCTTCAATGCTTGAATCAAGAAACATTTCATAAAGTTACTACCATTGTCCCAAAATAAAGTTCTCATTCACTAATCTTCTTATCAACTATCTTAAATTCATATGAATCTTTTATTTTATATATCAAAATGTGGTCAAATTTGAATTCTGTTTAATTTGTGACTATAAATATTTTAATGTAATTTCTCAACATGTAAATCTAATTTATTAAAAACCTAAATATTCCTTATTATTCCTAAAAAAACAAATTATTGATAGGTGACAGTTAACCGCTTTATGGGAACTTCATTGCCACAAACTTCGTGGGAACTAAAATGGGAATTTTTGTATGCGAGAGAGGAAGTATAATTTTTTAATATTAGTTGCGATTAAGATCAAATCCATGCACTACTATTTGAAAAATAAAAGAGATATTACCCAAAATATGACTAAAATGTTTGAAAATTCCAAAATAGGACTGCTATATTTTTATTCCCAAAATAGGACTAATTACTGTCATGTTTTGGCAGTAGCAGACTTCAAACATGGCAATATTTTCCAAATTTGGCAGTAATTAGTCCTATTTTGGGAATAAAAATATGACAATTGTATTTTGGAATTTTCAAACTTTTGTAATCTTATTTCGGGAGCTTTCCCAAAATAAAATCAAACATAATTGTTTCAATAAGTTGTTCAAAATTGAGCCGAAATGGTTTTTTTAATGCAAAACCTAAGCCCAACTCAAAGCTCAATATACAGAATACGTACTCGTTGACAAAACCTTAGCCTCGAGCCCTCAATACAAATCATAGTTTGTCCAGCCATTGGTAAGAAAGTAATGAACGTCATGCACAACACCAAATTTAATTTTTACTCTCTAATAGAAACACAATGCTCCAAATTTTTACTCTGTGGTATATAATCAAATAGTCAATATACAAATAAAATAAAAAAGTTAAGCATATATAATCATATTTAAGTGCTCTACAACATTTCTTGCTAGTAGTGATTGCAATACTCTTGGAAAATTTAATATAACCCTTTCAACCAATCCTTAGGACGCTTACACACGGTTGCAACACTCAGCTAAATGTTTGGTTATCGATAAACACCATATACGAAGTACTATGTATATATATACTTGAAATTCATTGTATTCGTAAAATAACATTTACTATTTGGAGCTACCAAATTATAAATTTGTAAAGCCTATCTCAGTTGAAATGCTTTTTGGTAATCTGCCGTAGTTAACTTTCAATTGTCATTATTTTTCTTTAGAAATGTAAATGCAGTATTGATATGATTTTTTTAAAGTGACTTCCACCCAAATGCATCTCAATTATCTCCCAAATGGAGACCTTCGCCTCCGGTGGGTTCCATTGCACGACGCCGCCAAGCAACCGGCCATTACAGACATCTCATTCTTGCAATGATATCACGAAAGGAATTTATCAGCAATACCTATTCAAATATTAAGGAATATCTACCCTTCACTTTTCATATATTTTCTCATACGCTTGGTTTGGCTGGTTGGTGCATTGAATTGGCAAGATTTGTGCTAACCAATAGCTCTATTTATACTTCGTATATACATAGTGCGGGAGTCGTCTAAGGAAGCCGACCAGCCATACACCAACAAATTCTTATCGCGAAATCCAAAAGACACTTGAGACTTTTCTATGAAGCTCCTCGATCTCTACCATTTAAATTCGTCGTGATGCATGCATTATATTATAGCTTACAGACTATATTAAATGCAGTGTTTCTTTGTTTACTTTTACTCTACATTTTTTTAATTATAATTTTTTCAGCATGCGCCAGGTATGTTGCCATCTATGTTCACACTTCCCGCCCAATCCCCTTCACACTATTCCGTTTTAATATATAATATAGATTTCTAATGATTCTAATTTGTATATCATGTTTACACCTAATTTGACAATATTGGTCAATGAAAACCCCTAAAGAATATATAGTTGTAAATGGTAAATGTACTCCGGCATTTACTCCGTTGATAGTGGTGGTTTGTCTTCCGGAGGAAAAAAAATTAAAATAAATAAATAAATATATAGTTGTAAATATGAGGTGTTTTTTCTATTTGACTTTGATAAAAATTCTTATTCTTCTTATGCGCATTTAATTTTTTCTTTGATACTTTTGATGCAACAGGTGATATTTTATACTACCCCTCAGTCCCATTGGACTTTGCCAACTTTCTCTTTTTGGTTGTCCCAAACAAATTTACCACTTTTTTATTAAAGTAAGGGAAAATCGCATAAATGGCCCCTCATTATACACGGAATTAAAATCCCAGACCTGTATTTCTGAGATTGTAAATGTCACCCCTCAATTGTCCAAATTGTTGTAAATGTGGTCCTTTAAGTAATGAAATGTACTCTCGCCCACATTGTATATTTGACCCCTCAAAAGGACCACATTTACAACATTTTGGACAATTGAGGGGTGACATTTACAATATCAAAAATAGAGGTCTGAGATTTTAATTTCGTGGATAACTGAGGGACCATATATGCAATTTTCCTTTAAAGTAATTAATTTGTGGTTCTGCACATTTCTCGCACAAATTTCAACAACACAATTTTTACTATTTTTATTTCTCACCCACTTTATACTTGATAAAATCCACAAGGACGGAGATAGTAGTATCTTAAAATAGATTTTGTTAAATACATATGGAGTATTACTTTACTACATTTTGACATTTTTCTGGAACATACGTCATTGAATTAAGTTTTGGCGCTCCGTATGCCAATACTACTCCGTATCATTATTAGTTGGGCGGCAGAGATGCAGCAGCAGCAGCTTTATCAATCACGCAGTAGATTTGGGGGTCATCAGAACACGAAGCATGAAGTTTAGCATCACAAACAGGTTCGCAATGTCCTTCCAACTCAATTGGGTCGTCCAAGTTCCCGTATTTCCCGTTTTTAATATTCTCGGCATAACACTCTTCCATACAGTGACAATATGCTGCTTTGACGCATTCCCTTGATTCGCAATTATAAACCATAGATACCAATACCATCACTGTCATCATCACCACAATATTATTATTGCTTCCCCCAACATTCCTGCAGCTTATCACCCTGCAGTACTCGCGCGTATGTATGTAACAAATAAAGTTATCATCACAATTTTATTTGGTTTTTTAAATCTAATCTTATTTTATGTCAAATCGATCAAGAAAGAATATTTACACAAAATGCAATTAACAATAGCTAGTTATGATTTTTTCTAAAATATACAAGTATTTCTTTTAGAGCATCGGAGCATCCATGTTTAGTCTAGGTATAGGTAAAGTCTGCCACATCACTAATATAGACTTGGAGTATTAAATTTCTTCTCCAATGCACGTAGTGTGTTACTAATAAGATTTGCTGACATGGCAAAAAAAAAACGGAACGGTGTGCAGATAGATGTGCATGTGTAGAAAGCTTCTTGCACTTGGTGACTCAGCGTCTATCTTCGAAAAAAAAGCCGTGAAACCCGCTTACATGGAGAGAAAAACTGCAAAATGCACCTCCCACCATCTTATCCGATACCCACTAGCTTTCTAGTCACTTTTTTACATATCATCAGTTTTAATTAGGCTACATATTGATATTTGCTTTTATTTTACTAATTAGATTTGATTCCGCAGGACAGTTTGCATTGGGGCGTTATTTTATTGAACTCTGTCTAATAGCTACACTTCTTATTACGTGGGTTAGAAATCCGATTGACTATTTGACATTTGGCATATTTAATAGACTAGACTTGAAAGCATTATTGGGGATGCAAACTTCATTTGGGAACATCTTAAAAAAGGAAGTACAAACTTCTTCGACACGGATGAAGCTAGCATGTTCGATCTAAAATAGTTGAATAACAAAATGCAGGTTCGTACACTTCGTATTTAGCAATAATAAATAAGTTTTATGTACACATCTATTAATAAATTTTAAATCATTTAAGTATATATATATTCTATACAGTTCCAATAATAATAATCGTAATAGTAACAATAATAACAACAATATATAACAACAACAATAATAGTAATAATAATAGTAATAATAATAATTGTAAACCTTACATGGTATTTGGTATATGAGAACGAGTATCTGATCTATAACTAGGCCAAAGTAATGTAACGATTTTGTAGTGTTTGGTGTTCCGATTGGCTATAGCTAGCTACTCCAAATGTGTGTATATATATACACGCACACATCCACAAATTCGGTGTATCCAATATCCATTATCATTTATTATAAGGTGCCATCAAATTCATAACATTCATATTTAACATGTAACATATGCATTATGACATATAAAGTTAATAAATTTAATTCAATAACGTATATAAGGTGCCATCAATTGATTATAACCTTTCTTATGATATTTTAATTTATAGTTATCAACCTTATTATTGTTTGTCGGGAAAAGGGGCAAATAAGCCCTCGAACTAATAAAAAAAAGTGCATATAAGCCCCTTTGTAGGAGGTTCTGTCCGATCATCGTCATTTGGGGAGGTTCTCAGTGGAATTTTTTGATGAATTTTTTTGAGCACCTTCTTCATTAAGTCTAGTTTAGCCATACCAATTTTCAGCTAAAAATTCAATCGGGAAGGCACTCAAATGATTTTCGGAACTATACTGCATTGTTTAACTGCACAGTCATCTTCAAAAATTCATTTGACTGTCTTCCCGATTGATGTTTTAGCTGAAATTCGGTATGACTAAACTAGACTTAAAGAATAAGATGCTCAAAAAATTTCATCAAAAAATTCCACCGGGAACCTCCCCAAATGACGATAGACAGATGAAACCTCATACAAAAGGGCTTATTTGCACTTTTTTGATTAGTTCGAGGGCTTATTTGCCCCTTTTCCCTTGTTTGTCTAATACGTAGTACTACGTACGTAGTACCTCCTCCGTTCTTTTTTAGTTGTAACGCTCAACATTTCACATTTGCTAACGCACGTCTTTGACCGTAATTATATCTTAATCTCTATTAGTAAAAAAAAATTTAAAAATCGGATTTTGAAACTTTGTAATGAGATGAATTGAACAATATCTTTTTTTTTTTTTTAAAAATAATTTTCATAAAATAATAGCATAAAATTTAGTCAAAGTAGAGCCTGTGAATAGTGTAAAATTCAACATGTTGCGATTAAAAAGAAACGGAGAATATATAGTATATTATACCGTACACTACAAAAATTACGAGATTGCAAGGGAAGTTTGTCCAGGGGCTTATGGTACTTGGGTAGGATCTCCATTTGATTGTATTGTTCATGTACTGCGGGTTGATGATTATTAATGAAGTTATTTTTTTCCAAAAAAAAAATTACGGGATTGGCACATATTTGGAATGGATTGATCGATGATATCATGCAATATAGCTCTTACCAAAGTGCTTTTGGCACGAATTTGACATATCCCTACCAAAGCATATGTGAATTTTGGCGAATCCCTCCAAACATTCATGCCAATATTGACATGACAAAATCAAATAAAATATATCGGACTCAACACCAGTACCTACTTTCCTCTCAGGGCCTGTTTCGTTTGGGGTAATCTCACATGAAGGCCGGAATGAAAGGCACGTAATATTAAATACCTGATGGAGTATACTCCCATATACCCCAGGGGTACCATAATCGCCGCTCTCAAGCCAAAGAGACATCCCAAAATATTTAAGTATTCGAGTTCCAAATGAGGCCGACCTCGAACCCTCGAGGTCAGGAACATGCACGAGATAACAAATCAACAAAGGATAGAAGACACAGCCGAGCCCGAGGTCGGGAGAAACATCAAGCTCAGGAATCACCCAGATAAGAAAAAAATATGAGGCCGACCTCGCAGTCACCAAGATCGGTTCCAACCCCGACCTCTGGCACTGACGAAAGGTGAACCAAGGCCAGGTAAAGTGAACACAAAAGTTAATAACAAAGAAAGTACTAACCTTGAAAGAGAAAGAAAGCTTCTGTAGTATTGGATTGTTACGTTAGGAGCATGGGAAGAGCAAAACGGTACCGTATTAGTGGACTAGTATACCATGTGCACGGTATACCGGTCGCATGGTATAATTTGCGATGTATAACCAAGAGTAGCGGAAATTGCTTTGTCCATTGTCTGAGATTTAACAAAGTGTTTATTGTCTCGTCCATTGATTGTCATGAAATCTCAACTGCAAGTATTTCTACGTAAATGAAGGAAAATCATACGAAGAAGGAGAAGAGAAAGTGAAGTTCATTCATTGTTGTGTTTACAAGATGCGTAGAGTTCATATACATACAGGTAACAAGAAAGCTATTTATAGGAATTTTTTACAACAAAATAGTAACAACTTAAACTAACTAGAAACTTCTAGATGATTCTCAGTTAGTTATCCACGTGTGCATGCCTCTTTTGTTGTATGTGTGCTTCTTTCTCTGTTATGTATGCATGGCGTGTGTTTAAGATGCCCAGAGCTCCCCTCAAGATGAGACTACAAATTTTGTACGTTCATTTGGGATAAAAAGGACTGAAAAAGAACTCTTCCCAGTGATTTTGTTACTATATCTGCAATTTGATGCTAACTGGGAACATAAAGTGTGTGTATGGTACCAGACTGTATCCAATCCCTGATGAAGTGACAGTCAATTTCCACATGTTTTGTTCTCTCATGATGAATATGATTAGCTACTAGAGATATGGCAGATTTGCCATCACAAAAGATGGTAGGTTTTGTTATAGGAATCCTGAAATCCTTAAAAAGTTGTATTAGTCCAATGACTTCAGCAAGAGAGGCTGCTAAGGCTATATATTCTGCCTTAGCTGAGCTCCTAGAAACTGTATGTTGTTTCTTTGATTTCCATGAGATGAGAGAGTTCCCTAAGAACATGCAATAGCCTGTAATGGACCTTCTTGTATCCACACAACTTGCTCAGAGTATGAAAATCCTTTCAATTGTATCTCAGATGATGATGAGTACATGAATCCTTGACCTATAGAAGCCTTAAGATAACGTAGGATCCCGTGTGCTGCAGATAAGTGAGTACGTTCTGCCAGGTTTTTGCATAAACTGGGTAATAAGTTCGTATTTAGACACACATTTGATGCATGTTGGGATCAATTTTTCATGGTTTTCATAGCTTTAAGGTGTTGCAAGTCTCAATTTTAGCTCAAGTTATGTTTATCAGGCGTTGGTTTGAGTTTTGTGTCATTTGAAGTCAAAATAAGGAATTTAGAGTTCGGCACCAGCGCTTGAGGAGCAAACGGGATGATTCGAGATGCATTCTAGAGTGGATTGAGAGCTTTGGAATCACCGGGAGGTTTACGATGAAGATTTGATGACAAAAGAGCTCTAAGATTGGATACGAGGTCAAAAGAAGATGAATGAAGCTCGAAAACGATGATCAGGATGACCTTCTATCACTCGTTTAAGCATATCTCTTTGTAGAAACAACCAATGGACACGTTTCAAGTTCCCTATGAAATCCAACTTCAAGTTCTACAAATCATATGAAGACATCATTTCGATAATATGAGAGGAGCAAGGTGAAAACAGATGATGAAGTCAGGTGATCCTTGTTGAGATTTTAGAATGAGACCTTCCACCATTTTAATCATATCTCTTGATTGGATGATGCAAATCACATTTCTCAAGTTTTTGTGGACAAATGACTTCATTATCTACAACTTTCATGAAGGAAGTTTTGTGAAATTCATATGTGTGACGCACGCCGTGCGTAGGGGAACGCACGATCGTGCGTCTGAGGCGAGAAAACAAGGAAACCATTGGCAGGGTACGCACGATCGTGCGTACCCCCAAAACGCGGATTTCAGCCTCTTTTTAGTCTCAGTTCAGCCCAAACTCATCTATTTTCTATAAATAAGTGTAAGAAATAAATGTATTTAGATTTTGATGATGCTAGAATTATTAGAACTTCTGTATACCCCTATTTGGATTTAATGTATTGGAATTTTTCTAAGTGTAAGCATTATAGAGTAATTGACTGACAGAAGACCTCCAGGCCCTCTACTGAACGTTTGCTGAACAGAAGTGCTCGAGGCCCTCTGCTGAACCTTTACTCTATAAAAGTGCTCGAGGTCCTCTGTGATTGCTCCTTTGGTTACAGCAACAGAAGCCATCACACTTAGCCATTCTCTAGCTTGATAAGCCAACTGTTCTAACAAGATATTCACTAATGGTTAGGAGCTCTTCAACGGAAAAGCTACAGGACAGTGCATTTAATGCTCATTTAATAAGCTATATGAGTTAAAGCTGATGATTGACCAAGATTCCTGGAAAGCCTATCCCAAAATAGCAAGCCGCCAACTTTGCGGGTCCAACCAGTCAACGCAACAGCACACACATTTAAAGCAGTTTTATCCTTCTCCAATGGGAAGACAACCCTAGTATAAAAGATACACTTGAAGAACTACCAGAATAACTTTTGCTCTCTCTACAACTCAAAAAGCTTTCTTGAGATTCAAACTCTATCTTCCTCAACAAGAAAAGCTTACGTTGGAAAGATAATATTTTCTCATATTCTTTCATCCAACCTAGAGCAAAGTTCTTCCAAGTTCTTCAACAATTCAAGCACCTCATTACACATTCTTTGTAACGAAGCAAGTTGAAGAAAACCTTGATCTTAACAACTTCTGTCAAAGAAGGGCATCCAAGTAACTGGAGTGATGAAGTGGGAATACTTCAAGGAAGCTCAGTGAAAGGACCAGTCTTAAAGGAAGCAAGGAAGTGCATCCCAGGAGACATCTACACTTGAAGAAGATGTGGAGAGCTTCTTGAGTGCTAGGACTTAAGTATTGTAATTGGTTTATTACAAGCTTAGTGGAACAGTGGATTAGAGGAACACGCTTTTTGTTCTTCGGTGTTCGCATTGTCCCAAAATGACCATTTAATGCAATTTAACACACTTTTTTCCAACAAAAATAACTTCAACCTTATTTATAGACAATTCAACGCGCATAATCAAAAGTTATGTGTTTAGTGAAAAGTTGATTGATAAGACTAATAAATCAAAAAATAGAGAAAGAAGCTTAAAGTAAGTCTAACATTTTGGAAGCGCTTTGATATTATTGTAATTTTCGATTATATGTTTGTATTTTAACTAGTTTTTATTAGTTTTAGTTGTGGAAATTACACACTTTTGGTGTAATACTTTTTTTTCATTTTTATTT